AACCTGGGAAGGGAAGAATAAATAATAATAATAATAAGGACAAAAGTAATAGTAGTAGTAGTAGTTTAAAAACAAACTAGAAAACAGAAAACAGAAAAAAAAAAATCAGGGAAGGGCAGAAGGGCAGGGCACCGAGGCTCAGTTTGAGCACACAGACTGGGGTAGAATTCCTACTGGCCTAGGAGGTGGGTGGGAATTAGGGATGGCCACACCTCCTTTCACCAAGAGGGTGTGGGGTATAAGAGTAACAAAGGGAATGTCACACCTTTCCAGTCATCCCGGTCCGGAATGTCTTTGGGGTTCCCGGCAAGTGGAGCCTGTTCGTAAGTCCCTGGAATTTGGGAGAATGCTGTCACAATGGACAAGCCACTTGTAAACATTCAAAATGGCTGTGCCCTCCAGATAGACAAAAGTCCACAGCTCAGCCCTCCTTCCTCTTCACTGCTTCCCCTTTTATTCCTCAGTCACCAGAGCAGTCCTCTGTGCAGTCCCTGAATAGCAGGGATGATTTTTAGGTTAATTCTTAGGTCCTACCACCACTTGGCAATATCTAAGTTGTCTGTCCCATCAGAATCGCTGCCAGACTGCAACTCCGTATGTCTCCTTTTTTGGTGTTTTCATACAAATTCTTCTGCTAGTTGGAATTGAGTCTACTCCTACCTTCCCTTCAAGGCTTAACAGTCCAGAATTATCTGTGTTAATTGGTTCCCCTTTTCTTTTTTGAAGAGGGTCCTTCTGCCTATTCAGCCACCTTACCAGAACCCATAATATTTTTTAATTAATATGAAGATATGAAAAATTGTAAACAGATTAATGACTATAGAAGAGTTTTAAACTAAATATGATCAGTTTCTGTGTAAGCATTAAGAATTTCTTCATTGAAGAAAAAAAAAATGTCTTCATTAGACTGCAAAGAAACAAGTTTCTTTGAGTCTTATTCAATTTCAGTCTAGATACATGTCTACACTGGGAAAAAATTGAACACTTACTTAATTTTAGAATTGGTCTAATTCTGGTTTTGCACTGGTCTGTAATTTTCTAGAATATTGAATTTTGTAGACAGACTCTGCAGTGGGGGAAAAAAGAACTGATAAGAAAATAATACTCCATTTTTGAGGAACTGAGAGAGAATGCCAACCTCAGTTTCAATTTTAATGTCAAGAGTGAGTAATAAATAGATTTTGAAACAAAAATCAAGCTTGTGGCTTCCCATCTAAAAAGATAATTGTAGTTCTCCTGTTTTCCAAAAGTAGGTAAGAAACTGCCTGGAGCTTGTGCTTTTTACTTTAGAGATTCAGTATATGGCATTATAAGGTCATTTTTGCTTATCTTTCAGATCAGCATTTTCATGACCCATTTGTCAAACTATGGGAATGACCGCCTAGGATTATACACCTTTGTGAATTTGGCAAACTTCGTGCAGAGCTGGACCAACCTCAGATTGCAGACCCTACCTCCAGTTCAACTGGCCCACAAGTACTTTGAGCTCTTCCCGGAGCAGAAAGACCCTCTCTGGCAGGTAACAGAAAATTCTCTCCTGCAATGGCAGAAAAGAAACTAGCAATTGCAGAATGCTCAATTTGTCTCAAGCACTCTGCTGGCATTATTAAAACCAGTATTTAAGTAAACATCTTTTTTTTTTTTTTTAATCCAATAACTTCATTTTCTTCTTATAAAATATTTTTGTTGTTTTTGCTTGTTTGGTTGGTTGGCTAGTTGATTTAGAAATTTTGAATTGATATTGTTGCTTTATTGTGGGTGACTTCTCTGAGCTAATTATTTTAACTTGCCTTTAGTTTCAACTTCAATCAGTGGTAAAATATTTGAACAATGAGTATCTAGGTCAATGAAAGATTAAAAAAAAAATCCATATTAATCTGAGACCCTATAACTAGACACTGATACTTATGTGTAGAATACAGAAGGTTCATATAAAAAAGGAAATGCAATGTTTACTTTGTAGCCATATAGATTTTGATATACCATTAATATGTCTTTGTTTTTCCTTAACAAATCTCTCACTAGGCTTAGATCTACTGATTAAAGGAGAATAGTCAGTTTTAGTATTGCTTTTACCAATAATTCAACTTCACATGGGGGCGACTCAGCCTTAATACATCAGATATAGACTATCTGCTTCTTAGCAGTTATCTAGGAAAATGCTGCCTCCCACTTTTTTGGTTCTTTATGCATCAGATTGCATCGACCCACACAATCAATAAGCTGGCTGCAGAGAACAGATCAGATGGTCCCCCACTAAGTAGTCAGTAGCATCATCATTAATGAATCACTGTGAAACAGACTTTTTATACTACTTTCTCCCTCTCCTCAAAACTATTTGTTTCTCTTTATTCCATAAAACATGTTACATGTTGTTCTCTATATAGTTAGAAACTCATCTTTTTTGAGCACCTGCTAGGTGTAAAACAAGAATACTTGATCTAAGGAATAAAAGGAAGAAGAAAATGCAATATAACAATGTTTTCTCTCAACGTTGGAGAACAGTGGTTTTTCTTATTATTGATATAATCTTTCATGTGTTTCAAAATGTGTTTTAAGACTGACTCTTACAGTAAATCACACATTATTCTGGTAATTTCTTCAGCTTCCCTTCACTATATATGTTTATGTTGCACTGTTGTTGTTATTAGGTGCCATACAATCAATTTGGACTCATAGTGACCCTATGTATGAGAGAATGAAATATTACCTGATACTGTGCCATCTTTACAATTGTTTCTATGTTTAAGCCCATTGTTGCAGCTACTGTGTCAATCCATCTTGTTGAGGATCCTCCTCTTTTTCATTGACCATCTACTGTACCGAGCATGAAATTTTTTTACCAGAAACTGGTTCCTGTTGATAACATATCCAAAATATGGGAGATGAAGTTTTCACCATCATTACTTATAAGAAGCATTGTGGCTATACTTCTTTCAAGACAGATGTGTTTGCTTTGCAGGCAGTTTATGCCAATACCATAGATCTTTGATCTTCCTTATTCATTGTCCAGTTTTCACGTGTATATGAGACAATTGAAAATAACATGGCTTGGGTCAGGCACAACTTAATCCTCCAACTGACATATTTGCTCTTTAACACTTCAGAGAGCAGGAGATCTGTCCATTGAAATGCATCATTTGATTTCTTGACTGCTGCTTCAGTGGACATTGATTGTGGATCCAAGGAAAATGAAATCCTTGACTATTTCAATCTTTTCTCCATTTATCATGATGTTGCTCATTAGTCCATTTGTGAAGATTTTTATTTTCTTTATTTTGAAGTGTAAT